GAAGGAGGTAGAAGAGGAGGGGAAAACTACTTGGACTAGCTTCTGTACCATTAGGTGATATTTTTCCATTTTCTGGTCTGGGGAGTCTCTTTATTCTGGAATTAGACATAAATAAAACTTAGTCTAAAGTCTTTGGGTATGTCAAATTTTAAATTTCCAGATTTGAAGTAAAGCTTGTTTTTTTAAATATACTCTTTGTTAAATTATAGAGTTGGTGGACATTTCATCTAAACCTTGTCCTATAAGCTTTCTTATCTCTAGTTTACTGACCTGAAGTCAGCTTTATGAAATACTTATATCTTCATGGATATTTTATTTATTTGTTTACTGACTTACTGATTTCCAGACCAAATATTTAATCTAACAACAATTACAGAAGGTAAAGTTACAATGTAGAGATTGTGAAATTGGATTATAGATAATTGTTACTGTTTACTGTTATTTTAAAATTTTAAAATATTTATTATTCAAGTATAGTTGACATTCAATGTTATATTAGTTTTGAGTATACAACATAATGATCCAACAATTCTATACATTATTTAGTATTCACCACAATAAGTATAGTCACCATCCATTACCATACAATGTTACTGAAATATTGTTGACTATGTTTCCTATGCTGTATTTTTCATCTCCCTGACTTACTTATTTTACAACTGAAAGTTTGTACCTCTTAATCCCTTTCACCTATTTTTCCATTCCTCCAACTCCCCTTTCTTCTGGCAACTGTCAGTTTCTTCTCTATAATTATGGGTCTTTTTTTTATTTGTTTGTTCATCTGTTTTGCTTTTTAGATTCTACATACAAGTGAAATCATATAGTATTTGTTTTTCTCTGTCTGACATATTTCACTTAGCACAATACCCTCTAGGTCCATCCATGTTGTTGCAAATGGCAAGATATCATTCTTTTTTATGACTGAATATTTTATTATATATACATGTCAAATCTTTTTTTATCCATTCATCTATGTATGGACACTTGGGTTGCTTCCATTATCTTAGCTATTGTAAATAATGTTGCAATAAACAAAGGAACATATATGTCTTTTCAAGTTAGTGTTTTCATTTATTTGGGTAAATATCCCTAATGGAATTACCGGATCATATGGCATTTCTATTTTTAATTTTTTGAGAAACCTCCATACTGTTTTCCATAGTGGTTTCACCCATTTACATCCCCACCAATAGTGTATGAGGGTTCCCTTTTCTCCACATCCTCACCAACACTTGTTATTTCTTATTGGTTTGTACTAGGCATTCTGACTAGTGAGAGGTGATATCTTTTTGTGGTTTTGATTTGCATTTCCCTGATAATTTGTGATATTGACCGCCTTTTCATGTGTCTGTTTGCTCTCTGTATGTCTTTTTTGGAAAAATGTCAAGCAAAGCTGGAGGTATCACAATCCTAGATTTCAAGATATACTACAAAGTCATAGTATCAGTAACAGTATGGTTCTGGCACAAAAATAGACATATAGGTCAATGAAACAGAATAGAGAGCCCAGAAATAAACCCACCTGATTAATCTATGACAAAAGAGGCATGAATATACAATGGGGAAAAGCCAGTCTTTTAATTTAATGGTGCTGGGAAAACTGGACAGCTAGATGCAAAAGAATGAAACTGGACCACTTTTTTTTTTTTTGGACCACTTTCTTATACCGAACACAGAAATACACTCAAAATGGATTCAAGACCTAAATGTGAAACCTGACCATAAAACTCCTAAAAGAAACATAGGCAGTAATCTCTTGGACATCAGCCTTAGCAACATACTTTTGGAGATGTCTCCTCAGGCAAGGGAAACAAAAGCAAAAATAAACTATTGGGACTACACCAAAATAAAAAGCTTCTGCACCATGACAGAAACCATCAACAAAACAAAAGGCAACCTAGTGGAGAAGATACTTGCAAATGATATATTCAACAGGGGGTTAATATCAAAAATATATAAAGAACTTATACAGCTAAACACCAAAACAACAAGCACTCTGATTAAAAAATGGGCATAGGACCTGAATAGACATTTTTTCATGTGTATTTTAGTTGGAATTTGAGAGCAGCTATGGTAGACACTTTGATTCATTCACTCATTTATTAATTTAGCAAACATTTATTGGGCACCAACCCTGTGCAGTTACCATGCTAGAAGTTAGAAATGTGATTGGGAACAAAACAGGCCTAGTTCCTGCCCTTCTAGACTTATATGTTAGTGTAGTACGCTACCAGATTAACTCAGAGATCAGAAGGAAAAAGAAATTATTCATGTTAACATGGAACAAAGCTTTAGTCTTTTTGCACCAAAAGAAGGAGGAGGAATATGGGAATTTAGTGAGTTTAAAACAAACCCAGTAACACAAAATAATACATACTACTGGATTTTGCAAGAGGACTTTGGTGATCTTGAGACAAAGTATGTCAGTTCAGGTCATGTAGGGTACTTGACAGGAGGTGATACAAATGGGCTGAGGAGTTTAATGAAGTGAAGTGTGCCACAGTGTGTGCCATGAAGTGAAGTCTGAGCCATAAAAAACACCTACACTTGATGCAGTAGGATCTCTTTCTTTTCAGATACCCAGAATGGAGAGGATTTTTGTCAACCTGGGAATCACCTATTGAAAATGCTGATTGGCTCCACCAGTGGAAACTCCCTGGGTCCCCACACTACCCCATATAGGAGAACAGTTAAGGACAACTCCTTAAACAAAAAATATGCACTGAACTGTTAATGAGTGACAAATATAATTTTATTGGATTATGCTATTATTATTTCTGGGTTCTCTGATTAGGTTATGATACTGTTATTTCTGGGTTCTCTAATGTAGCAGGTGGAAAGTGTTATCTTCACATATAATGAATGAGCAATTGAGAGTAGAAGAAGACCCAGTTATTGTAAATGCTTTTTGAAGAAGTTTATGGCAAAAGTGGAGGGGATTTAGAGATATAGTCCAAAAGGAAAAAAAAACCAAATTATTGTTTGTTTGAACAAGGAAATCGTTATCATATTTGGAAGCTGAATGAGGTTGGAGGGAGAGCTTATAATACAAGAAGAACATGTAAATGACAGACCAAACAGGACTGTGAATGAACATGAGGAATTAGAATCTTGGTAATAACTAAGTCAACTCCTCCACAAAAGACACTCTGGAAGTGTCCTACAGCTGACACAAAACCCACTTTAAGATCTGGGGCAGAGCCCTGACCATGAAAAGGACCCTTGCTTCCTGGTCTATCCAGTCAGCAATTTAGGAATGGGCCATTAGTGCCTCCTGAGGGTAGGATAGAACCCTGGAGCATCTGAGCTCATTTAGTGAGAGAACAGAGCAGGGATACCAGGCCAGGAAACATGCCCAAGAGGACTCATTAAAATCCTGTTTCCTGGACTAGCATTTCCAGGGGAGGCCATTTCAGCTGAGAAGAGAAGTCCCTATGAATGTTAGGAGTGGAATAAAGTAGAGAGGGTGGGGTCATGGCATAAGGAGCCAGAACAGCCTCCCCAAGGATAGCGCCCTGGCTCACTGTTCTCCCCAGGGACAGTGAGGCCAGGCACAGCAGTGTCTCGCTTGGGCAGCTCTTCCAATATCTACTTCCTCCAGATTCTTGCTGCTTTCATCTTTGCTCCCAGACCCTAGCAAGAGTAAATGACAGTCTGAGCATCTGGACCCAAGAACTCAGTCTGACAACTTCTCCCGAGCTGGATGGGTTCTCGACCTGGGTACCTGAGGGACAGAAGCAGTTTCTCCTAATTCTCCACAGGTGTGAGAAGAGGAAATCCATCTCTGAAGTAAGAGCTCCTCAGAAACTACCCAAGGACTGTATTACCCTCTGTCTTTATTACATCTCCGGAGCAGACCTGCAGAGGAATAGAGGGACCAGAAGCAGCCCTGACACCTGTCTTGGTCAGACTCCTCAGACTCTTAACCCAACTTAGCAAAATTTAAACCAGTTGGACACTGCTGGAAAAGCTTACTCTTTCTGCATTTCTACAGGAAAATCCTTGACTCTCAAACAACCCCCAAGGCAGTTTGCATGGTTGGGCAGCTTGGCTTCTCACTACCTGAGGTAAAGACTTTATCTCTCTTTCAGGGAAGTGTGCAGCCTCTAGATCTGTTGAGTTGAGAAACAGAGCCCAAAGCAGACCCTAAGAACTTAAGTTACTCTTTCTTCCCAAACACAAACACTCTGATCTTCCTGGACAGGGCCTCATCAGTTATCAGATCTTTGAGTTCTCCCAGGCTCACACATTTGCATAACCTGTAAAGAAACATCTATGTTGTCATTGATCCTAAAGGTTTAGTTCATAAAAGCAGCACCATGACAAACACTCCACCCCCTAGTCTCAGACAGTCTAGAATCCCTTTTCTCTCAGACACATGGACAGTATGGAGCTGGCCCAGGGAAGTGACTAAGGTGGATGTATTTTAGCTCTTCCTGTGAGGCTTACATCTATAGCCTTGAGTGCTACAAACAAGTGTGGACATAAGTTATATGGAAAATGAAGTGGAAGTGCTTTGTTGAAATCTGTACCTGCTTTAGAATTTTATATTCAGAACAGGTCTGTTAGGACACTAACTGGGTATTTAAATCATTAGACAAACATTATACTTAAAACATAGGTACAAAAGTAACCAAGGGCTTGGGTTCTGGGATATTGCTTTCTAGAGAGAGAGAGAGAGAGATGATTTAATCATTCTGGAAAGATACATGTCCAGGTTTGAAGTCCTGAATAATATTTTCCTGTAGTGATGTCTTAATGTTTAGCTATTACTGTAATACCTGCTCTCCATTCAGATGGTTCTTTCATCAAGGTACAATTAAAAGTGTCAGAAACTGAAAGATTAAGAGGTAAAGTCCATTTCCAGGAGGAAAGACGTCACCTCATTGGATTCATGTTGGTCATCATCAGGAGCCTGTGATGTTACAAACTAGGGACCACCTTAGCAAACATTCACTAAGAATGTGTTTGGTTCTAGGCAACTAAAGAATCAACACAGAATGGACTACTGGAACTCCACCTTGGGCAGTGGCTTTATATTGATGGGGATCTGAATGACAGTGGGTCTCCTGAACTGCTTTGTGCCACAATCACAGTTTTGTACATGTTGGCCCTGACCAGCAATGGCCTGCTGCTCTTGGTCATCATGATGGATTCCTGGCTCCACGTGCCCATGTACTTCCTGCTTGGGCAGCTCTCACTCATGGACCTCCTCTTCACGTCTGTTGTCACTCCCAAGGCCCTCATGGATTTTCTGCGTGGTGAAAACACCATCTCCTTTGGGGGCTGTGCCCTTCAGATGTTTCTGGTATTGATGCTGGGTGGTGCAGAGGATCTGCTACTGGCCTTCATGGCCTATGACAGTTATGTGGCCATTTGTCATCCTCTGAACTACATGGTCTTCATGAGGCCAAGGGTCTGTTGGCTCATGGTGGCCACATCCTGGATACTGGCATCCATAAGTGCCTTCGTTTATACCATGTATACCATGCATTATCCCTTCTGCATGTCCCGGAAGATCAGGCACCTGCTCTGTGAGATCCCACCTTTGCTGAAGTTGGCCTGTGCAGATACCTCCAGATATGAACTGTTTGTGTATGTGATGGGTGTAACCTTCCTGATACCCCCTCTTGTTACTATCATTTCCTCCTATGCACTAATCCTGTGTACTGTGCTTCACATTGCCCTCAAATGAGGGGAAGCAGAAAGCTCTAGTCACCTGCTCTTCCCACCTGATGGTGGTTGGGTTGTTCTATGGAGCTGCCACGTTCATGTATGTCCTGCCCAGTTCACTCCACAACCCCAAGCAAGACATACATCATCTCTGTTTTCTACATGGTTGTCACTCCAGCCCTGAACCCCCTTATCTACAGCCTGAGAAATAAGGAGGTCATGGGAGCCTTGAGGAGAGTCCTTGGAAAATACATGCTGTGACACACTCCACCATCTAGGGAGAGCTTACGGCTAGCCCTCAAAATTAATTTCTCTTCAAAGTCAGATTTCTGTTAATTCCCATGGCAAAAACACCATAATGCAAAGGGTATTTTTTAATAGTAAAATTAAGGAACATAATTTGACTTGTCAAATAAATTTGTGTGTCTATATTTTTACCATTTTATTTTATTGTTTGTAGTTGACACAGAATATTACATTAGTTTCAGGTGTGCAACATAGTGATTTGACAGATCTATACTTTATGGTATGGTCACCACAAATGTAGCTACCATCTGTTACCATACAACACTGTTGCAGTATCATGGACTACATGCCCTTTATCCCCACTGTACCTTCTATCCTGGTGACTTATTTATTCTATAACTGAAGCTTGTATCTCCCACTGCTCTTCAACCATTTCCATCATACTTCAGTCATCTCCCCCTGTCCCTCCCCCACCGTGCTCTGGTAACCACCAGTTTATTCTCTGTATTTATAGTCTGTTTTTGTTGTTTCTTTCTCTTTTTTTTTATTATGTTATGTTAGTCACCATACAGTACATCCTTAGTTTTTGATGTAATGATCCATGATTCATTGTTTGTGTATAACACCCAGTGCTCCATGCAGTACATGCCCTCCTTAATACCCATCACTGGGCTAACCCATCCCCCACTCCCTCCCCTCTAAAACCCTCAGTTTGTTTCCTGGAGTCCATAGTCTCTTATGGTTTGTCTCCCCCTCTGATTTCCACCCCCTTCATTTTTCTCTTCCTTCTCCTCATGTCCTCCATGCTATCCCTTATGTTCCACAAATAAGTGAAACCATATGATTATTGACTTTCTCTGCTTGACTTATTTCACTTAGCATAATCTCTTCCAGTTCCATCCATGTTGATGCAAAAGTTGGGTATTCATCCTTTCTGATGGCTGAGTAATATTCCATTGTATATATGGATCACATCTTCTTTATCCATTCATCTGTTGAAGGGCTTCCTGGATCTTTCCACAGTTTGGCTGTTGTGGACATTGCTGCTATGAACATTGGGGTACATGTGGCCCTTCTTTTCACTACATCTATATCTTTATTTGTTCTTTTGTTTTTTAAAATTCCACATATAAGTGAAATCATATTTTATTTGTCTTTCTCTGACTTATTTCACTTAGCATTATACCCTCAACATCCATCCATGTTGTCATAAATGGCAAGATTTCATTCCTTTTTATGGCTCATTAATATTCCACTATATATATATATATACATATATATATATATATACACACACACCACATCTTCTTTATCCATTCATCTATCAACAGGTACTTGGGTTGCTTTCATTATCTTGACTATTGTAAATAATGCAGCAATAAACACAGGGATGTAAATAATGCAGCAATAAACACAGGGATGTTTATATCTTTATGAATTAGTGTTTTCATTTTCTTTGGGTAAGTACCCAATAGTGGAACTACTGAATCATATAGTATTTCTGTTTTGATTTCTTGAGGAATCTTCATACTGTTTCCAGTATTGGTAGCTGCACCAATTTATATTCCCACCAAAATTGCACAAAGGTTTCTTTTTCTCCACATCCTCGCCAGCACTTATTTCTTGTCTTTTTGATCCTAGCCATTCTGACATGTTTAAGGTGATATTTCATTATCAAATGCTCTTTTAAATCTTTTTTCCGTCAGGTAATTTATAAAAAAATGATTCACACTCTATTTAAAATTTGCTCTCTGTTTTCCCACTTAGCTACTGAGTTAAATGAGGCTAGGGGCTTTTACCAATTTTGGACATGACCTCTGACTGGGTAGTCCATACTGGACCAACATATGAACCAAAGAAAAGAAAGTTTCAAGTGGGAAGCCTAAGCAAGGCCCACATCAGGGGAGCAGACCTTGAGATTTGCACAAATCTTAGACCAACTGGCCTTGTTAAAAGATCATGTAGGCAGCCTAATTAACTAGTAGTATATTATATGTATTTGTATTATGTTTTCTCCTCCTTTCTCCAAACAGCCATTATAGAAAACAACTGGGTCCTCCAACAGGTATTTTTGTTTGTCTTTGTTTTTGACATGGAGATTTTTTATACCTCCTAAAATCCAAATATTACTGAAATAAATAAAATAGAAAGAGTATCTCATTAGCAAGGTCCATGGGAAACAACTATGCTTATTCCTTGGCAAGAAACAAAACAAACAAACAGAACTGGTTTTGTGTCTTGAAATGTCCCTACGCTTGCAAAGGGTTCATATGCTTGATATGTGTGGATGTGTGAGTCTGTAGATGTATATTTGTGCTGGAAAGGATGGGACAAGTTTTTTGCAACTTCAGAATAACATGGTTCATCTGAATGGCATATTTTGCGGAATAAAAATATTGCTCTTTTTGGAAATTCGATAATGCTTTCTCTTAAAAAAACTAAAACAGCACTATTTCATCTAACACTAAGAAGTAACACTAAGGAGTTTTTTGGAAAAAATTAATAAAATTAAGAATACTAAAAGAGGGGCACCTGGGTGGCTCAGTCATTAAGCGTCTGCCTTCGACTCAGGTCATGATCCCAGGGTCCTGGGATTGATTCCTGCATTGGGCTCCCTGCTCGGCAGGAGGCCTGCTTCTCCCTCTCCCACTCCCCCTGCTTGTGTTCCCTCTCTCGCTGTGTTTCTCTCTGTCAAATAAATAAATAAAATCTTAAAAAAAAAAGTACTAAAAGAAAGGCAAAAACTAACTAAAATCTTATCCAGAGATAACCTCCACTCATTTAGATACATTTTCTATGCAGGCATGCATTTTACTGAGTTGATATGTGCACATAAAATAGAGATTTTTTTTCACTTATTAATACATAGTGAATTTTCTCCCTACATTATAAGGCAGCGATATAGAGCAGTGACAAAGACAGAGTCTGGGGTCAGTTGTCAGAGTACTGAGGTTTGAATTCAATATATCCCCACTTACTTATATAACTTTGAGCATATTTCTTAACCTCTCTGTACCTGTTGCACATCTCTAAACTGTAAATTGGCAGTAATAGTTAGATCTACTCCACAGTCATTGTGAGGATTAAATAAATTAGCAAATATAAATGTAAGACATTTAGAACAGCAACTGGCATAAAATGAGTATTTAATAAATCTTAATTCTTACGTGAATAAATAGCCTTGAAAACATTTTTATGTGATGACATAATATTATATCATATGGATGCTTTGTAATAGAATTGACTATTTCATCACTGTTATACATTTAGTGTGTGTGTGTGTGTGTGTGTGTGCTAAAAATAGCAATGTTGACCTCTGGATATATGACTGATTTTCCTTTAGAATAAATTCTTGTGAGTGGAAATATTAAAACCAAAGTCAAAATCTACTTAATATTCTATTTAATATTCTTGATATAAAAAGATGAACTGATTTTAATGTTAAACATTTTGCATTTTTACCAGCAACATATAAGTGTACTCAGTCCATTACATCTTTTTTCATATTAAGTTTAATATATAAACAGCTTTTACTAATTTATTAAGTATAACATTTAAATATATTTAATTTGCATAATTAATTTATATTTTTCTTTTTGAGTTATTGGAATTCTTTACAGATTAGGGACGCTGATACCTTGTTATATTTGTGGTAATAACTTCATGAATTTTTTATTTTTTAATATCTCCATGGTAAAGATTTTTAGACAGAGAAGTACTGAAAATATTTATGTAGTGAAATCTATCCTTCTTTCCTGTTTTCTTTCAATGATTTTACTGCTAGGATATAATTTTCTACTCTCTCTTTAGGTAACAATTTATATATTTTTTTTCTTCCTAATTTTATAATTTGCATTTAACTTTTAGAATAAATTTCTAATTTATCTTGATATGGTGAAGTTTTAACTTTTTTTCAAAGTTGCCACCTTCTTAGTAATATTTTAAAATAATTCTTCTCCATTAATTTCTTCTATTTTTAAAATCATATATTGTCTCATAAATGTAGTAGTAAGCTACATTTCTTGTCTATCTATTCAATTGTAGCTTCTTTCTCTCCTTACTCTTTCTGAAGATATTTCTGTCATCTACATCTTAAAAACCCACTGGTAATTTGATCATGAATAATATTCAACTGGTAAAGTAATTTTTAATTTAGGCATTTTTTGCAATACTCACCCATGCCCTCCAGAACATAGTATACTACTGCACCTTCTGAACCCAGTCTTGTTTCCTTTCTGAAAATGACTATTTCACACCTTCAGTCTCAGCTGATGACCTTACCCCATATGTACCTTACTTGGAATGGAAAGTGAAGTATGTGGTAAGAAAGGCAAGGGAAGTAAGAAAGGGCAGCCCCTTATGTTCCCCTCTTCAAACCCCCCACCCACCTGTATGAACCTTCATGTTTATGTTTGATTTTCCCCCTTTACAAATGTCTATTAAAGGCTGACCCCTTCACTTGTACTCTGAATCCTACCAAAGGTTTTTCTCCTGCAGAATCTCTTTAATCTGAAACCATTTTCTTCTTCTCTTCTGGGTGATAACCACAAGAATACAAATATGCTCTAATTATCCCATCATAAAGAACCCTTTCCAAGGCTCCACATCCTCTTCAGGTACTGACCCATTTTTCAGCTTCTCTTCAGGGAAATAAAGAATCTTAAAAGGTGTGTGTCTATGCCCACTTCTTCCTCTGCTGATTTTCTATTCACATATTAGCCCATTTCCAATCAAGCTCTTATTTCTTTCCATGGACCTGTTCTTTGTCAAAGTCATCATTGTTGTTTCAAATAAAGTGGTCATTTCTTTCTTTCTTTTAAGATTTATTTATTTATTTTAGAGAGTGAGAGATCACAAGCTGGAGGGGGGAGAGGGGGAGGGGCAGAGGGAGAGAACCCTCATGCAGACTCCCTGCTGAGCACAGAACCCAACACGCAGGGCTCGATCCCAGGACCCTGAGATCATGATCTGAGCTGAAATCAAGAGTGGGTGGCTTAACTGAATGAGCCACCCAG